AGAGTAGAATGGGGTCAGAAAAGGAATTCTTAAAAAACATTAAATCTTATTAACAAAACATATTCCATCCTGAAAACATAGATGCAACTGCAAGGGTTTAAATTGACTGTATGAATTGGATCATTGAAAGATGCCTTAAGGGGGTAAACTATACTGCTGTTCAAGAGATTTTAACCAAACTTTAATTTATGCCATTCATCAACAAGTCACTCAAAAGTTTTTATTCAGAAGTTTGATGTTGTTCTGCATAAACTTGGTTAATTATGCAGAACCCAATTGATATAAAAAGTATTGTACTTGAGGTTAATATTCTACATTTTTGAAGTCTGATTTATTTTCATTAAGTTTGAGAGGGTAGACTCTAAAATTGTTCCCTACTTTGGGAAGAACATGTGATTAAAGTTATTTTAGACTAATTTTCCTGACTCACCAAGTTGTCGTTCTTCACAAAATCGAGAATCTAATTCAAAGGTGTCAAACTCCACTCTAGCTGAACTTTTTTAATGTGTCTCTGCTTCAGTGCACTTAAATCAAATAATCAGGTCATCTTCAGAACTTGACTGCAAGCTGAGGAGGTACTTACCGTGTATTGGATGAGTGTATCTGAACTCGCCCTCCAGGACTTGAGTTTGACACCCCTGAGAATTCTTAGAGTGCATGGATTTGTTTTAGGATATCTGCAAATAGTTTCCACAACCTTACCTTATCATATCTTTCTCACAAAACAAATCACAGAACAAATATTGCTTGAGTATGTTTGCTGAAAAGGTTAAAATATAATTGCCTTTGCATCTTGTTTAATAACCTCATCGTGCGCTAACTTAAGAAGGTGACTTGGGATGTTTCCTTATGCCTGTTAAGGCATCAAGCTTTGCTTTAAGGATATCCTGTTTTTACAACAACCAGAAATGCAGCCTGAGGGGTGGAGCAGGCAGTGTGACTGTCATTAAAGGATCACATAGAACACATCTGGATCTGTTCAGAGCATCAAATAAAAAGGATTCTTTATATCCTAACCACCACATGGTGACATGTCTTTAGTAAGCAATAAGGATGACTGTTTTCACTTTGTGAAATGCTGACACCATTTTCTCTGGATCATCGTTAGTCCAAGTCACAGTTGATGCATTTCTAATGATCTCCGTTCTTGTTCAAGTCACTAGACATTAGACAGGAAAGGAACATACTCTGATATATTTTAGAGGCAACAGAAAGTAATGGAAGCTGATAAACCATGGCTTTTGATACAAACTTCTACAGCTCTGGCATAACAAGAATGTGGTGCAGCTCCAAGAACAGCTGAACGAGGCATCTAACCAAACTCAACTAAAACAGTTATCCAGATTGCTGCTGGTCTCTCTCTCCC